CCCCCCCCGATTTGCAAGGTCCTTGGCCAGGGAGGAGGAGTCCTTTCTTGTCTCTTTTTTTTCTTGTGGCCATCTAGAGGTGCTTGCAGCTGCGCCAGTGTTTGCTGCGCACTTCTGCTGAGGATCCCAGGGCTTCCTCAGGACTTATCATTGGCTCCTTGTGTTACAAAACCTTTATGGACCTGCTGGGAGACATAAGGGGGGGTGTCACTTTGCTACTCCTTGCACTTTTGGGAAAGGTGGGGAGATGGACTCCTGGCTCTCACCATGGGTATCAAGGGCTTATTTTTCTGCCATCCCTCACTGTTGCTGCTGCCCCTGAAATGCAGCACTGAAAGCACCCTAGATGCACAGAGTCAGGACTTGCTGCGACCTGTGCAACTTCCTTGGATGGCAATCGCTGCTGTGCTCCGGAGCCCAAAATGGCTGGCTCCACCGGCTTCCTGCCAGCTGACTCACAGCGGGGCACCCATGGCTCTGGAAATCCGGTTTGGTTTGGATGCTCCTCTGCCTCGGTTGCGCCTGATGACGCATCCAAGTGCTTGGCAACAGCAGGGCTGATGCAGTGAATATTTTGGTTCTTGTCGAAAGAGCTGCGGCCTCTGGGATGCCTCACCTGGAGGGAGAGAGGCTGCAGAGCCCACCTCAGCCTCGCTTCCCCTGAGGGACCTGAGGCTGCCCTTGAAGCCCTGAGCTAGGGGACCTCCCACCTCAGCCCTTCGGTTCAGTTAAGAAATGCGGCTAACGCTTCCTCCTCCTCCGGAGCTAATTTAGGGAAGCCGAGCCTCAGAGCATGGCAACCGTTCACTTCTGCAAACCCCGCCCTTGCTGGGCACCCATCCTCAGTGCCATCACCTCCTCAGCTCCCAGCGCCTGGGTGATGCTCTGCCATCTCAGCCCACAGCCCTGCTTCTGGAGGAGCAACGGGGGCCGTGCCAGCTGCTGTGGGGCTCCAGCCCAGGGGCCAAGTGGGTGTTCAGACAGCAGAGAAGATGCTCACTGGGTGCTTTGCAGGGCTGTGGGTGGGGGCAGCCCAGGGAACATGCTGGCCTGGTGTCCCTGGCTCCAGCAGATGTGTCTCCCTCTCCCTGGTCCCCTGAGGTGGGTAGTGCAGTGGTGGGAGGCAGAGCACCAGGTTTGGGAGAGGGCAGCAGACTGGGATGAGCACAAGGCACCCAGGCTATAGGGCAGTGCGGCTTGCACAAGCCACCGAGGGCCTGGGCCACCCTGCCTGGGCTGTGCACCTCACCACCTGCAGCGATAGCATTGTGGCCCCAGCTGGGATCTGACCCTGCCTCCCCCTCCCCAGCGTGAGTGCATCTCCGTCCACGTCGGCCAGGCCGGCGTCCAGATGGGCAACACCTGCTGGGAGCTGTACTGCCTGGAGCACGGCATCCAGCCCGACGGGCAGATGCCCAGCGACAAAACCATCGGCGGAGGGGACGACTCCTTCACCACCTTCTTCTGCGAGACCGGGGCTGGGAAGCACGTCCCACGGGCCATCTTTGTGGACCTGGAGCCCACCGTGATTGGTGAGTGCACCTCGGCTGGGCAGTGGCCGTGGTCACCAGCTATGGGAACAACCCACTGCGGGACAGTCCCTAGGGTGGCTCCTGCCACTTTTCCCCAGGGCCAGTTAGAAAATCTCTGACGTTGTGCTAACCTCTCCTAGATGAGGTTCGGGGAGGAGTCTACCGCCAGCTCTTCCACCCCGAGCAGATGATCACGGGCAAGGAGGATGCTGCCAACAACTATGCCCGCGGGCACTACACCATCGGCAAAGAGATCATTGACCAAGTGCTGGACAGGATCCGGAAGCTGGTAGGTGACCACCAAGAGGGGGTGTGCATCCCCCTGGGCTGGGCTCCAGCATCCCGCTGGGGATGCAAACATGGTGTGAGCCCTGCGGTGCCCTGGGAGGGATCTGTAGCTGTCCAAGCAAAAGTTTGAAACTTCCCTCCAGCAAAGTCAGTGCTTGGTTGAATCTTACTTGGCTCTCTCCACAGGCTGACCAGTGCACGGGACTCCAGGGCTTCCTCGTTTTTCGTAGTTTTGGAGGTGGCACTGGCTCTGGATTCACCTCCCTGTTGATGGAGCGACTCTCCGTTGACTATGGCAAGAAGTCCAAGCTGGAGTTTTCTATCTACCCCGCGCCACAGGTCTCCACTGCCGTGGTGGAGCCCTACAACTCCATCCTTACCACACACAGCACATTGGAGCATTCGGACTGCGCTTTCATGGTGGACAATGAAGCCATCTACGACATCTGCCGCAGGAACCTGGACATCGAGCGCCCAACCTACACCAACTTGAACAGGCTCATCAGCCAGGTTGTCTCATCCATCACGGCATCCCTGAGGTTTGATGGGGCCCTGAACGTCGACCTGACCGAGTTCCAGACCAATCTGGTGCCCTACCCTCGCATCCACTTCCCCCTTGCCACTTATGCTCCTGTGGTTTCGGCCGAGAGAGCTTATCATGAGCAGCTGTCGGTGGCCGAGATCACCAACTCCTGCTTTGAGCCAGCCAACCAGATGGTGAAGTGCGACCCTCGCCACGGCAAGTACATGGCCTGCTGCCTGCTGTACCGTGGGGACGTGGTGCCCAAGGACGTCAACGCCGCCATTGCCCCCATCAAGACCAAGCGCAGCATCCAGTTTGTGGACTGGTGCCCC